AAAAAAAAAAAAAAAAAATCAACTGGATGTCTCAAGATATTAAAAAGTTGTCATTACTACTTTAGGTGTGATTCTGATAGTATGATTTTTTAACTGTATCTTTTTAGAGATCTATGCTGCAATATTTATGGCAATGCCTGGGATTTGCTTCCAAATAATCCAGTGCAGGGGCTGGGGATTTAGCTCACCGGCAAAGTGCCTGCCTGGCAAGCACAAGGTCGTGAGTTCAGTTCCCGGTACCGGAGAAAAACCAAAAAAACAAAAAACAGAAAACAAAAAACAAACAACAACAACAACAACAAAAAATAATCCAGTGCAAGCAGAAGCAAAGTAAATTTGGCTGAAAGGTAAAAACTAATAATGCTAAAACAGGGCAATGCATATTCACTTCCCGTAAGAAAAAGTCCAATAAAAAGGTACCACAAGGGGCTGGGGGTTTAGCTCAGCAGCACAGCACCTGCCTGGCAAGCACAAGGTCATGAATTTGAGTCCCAGTCCTGGAAAAAAAATCCAAATAAAGAAGGTACCACAGGTCAGGCAGGGTAGCACACACAGGTAATCCCAGCACTCTGGGCAGGTAAGGGCAAAAGACTGTGAATAAATTTTAGCTTAGAGAACTCAGAATGACCCTGTTTCAAAATTTAAAGATCTGGGGATCCAAAAAAAAAAGAGGTACCACATGGTTGATTTATTATTCTAAAATAACTTGAATGGTTTTTATACGTCAAAAACTATAAAAGCAGGGGCTGGAGATTTAGCTCAGTGGCACAGCACCTGCCTGGCAAGTGCAAGGTCATGAGTTCAATTCCCAGCACCGGAAAAAAAAAAAACTATAAAGGCAAGCCTGGCATGGTAGCACATGCCTGTAATCCCAGCACCGAGACTAAGGCAGGAGGAACTTGATTTTTTTTCTGGCTGGGGGCGGGGTTTGCTGGCCATGGAACCCAGGGCCTTGTGCATGGAAGGCCAAGAGCTCTACTCCGGAGTCATATCCCCAGTCCGGGAGGATCTTGATTTCAAAGCTACCCTGGGCTACACAGGGAGACCCTGTTTCAAAAAGTAAAACCTAGCAGAGCCGGGCGTGGTGGTGCACACCTGTAATGCCAGCACTAGGGAGGCTGAGGCAGGAGGATCAATACGAGCTCGAGACCAGCCTGGGCACAAAGTGAGCTCAAGGCCAGCCTGAACTGCGTAGTGAGACCCTGCCTCAAAAAGACAAAAAAAAAGAAAAAAAAAAAAAAATTAAAACTAAACAATGTCTAAAAACATTAAGACTTAAGGAAGAAAGGCAAATAGGAAAATCCAAACAGAATTTTTAGGGCTCATCAACAGACCACGCTACTAATTAGACCCTGCTACAGAGTTCAGCAGTAAGCCGGTACTTTAAACTAAGAAGGCTGAGGGTGTGGCTCAGGGTTAGAGCGCTTGCCCAACGTGTGCACGGCCCGGGCTTCTGCAGAACAGCAGCGATCGCCAAAACCAAAGAGAACAGGGTGCCTAGCATCAACTCAGAATGCATGGTTTGGGCCTGGGATAGCTCAGCGGCACAGGCGCCTGCTTGGCAAGCGCAAGATCCTGAGTGTGATTCCCGGTACCACAAAAAAAAGGCAGAATGCATGGTTCACCTAAAGGCTTTCAGTTTCTTTTTTTCTTTTTAAGGTTTTCAGTTTCAGACAGACATTTTGCTACACAAAATCTGTTTTCAACCTCATACTCAAAATAACCCTCCCCTTAAGGGGAACCACGTCATTTATTGCCAAAGAAAAGACACCTAGAGGAAAGAAGAAAGGAGCAGTCAAAATAAGGTGGCACAACCCCCTTGGTCACTCTGCTCACTTTACATAGGACAGGCACATACTGTTGAGCCACGGGATGGTGCCTTATGAGCGTATCACTGTTAAGGAGGCGTGATGACACACACCTCCATGAGGCAGGAGGATCCTAAGTTCAAAGCCGGCTGGGCAACGCCACAAGGTTCCTGATCTCAAAAACAAAAAGAAAAAGGACTGGGGATGCAGAGTGTGACTGAACACACCTGTGATTCCAGCACTGGAGAGGCTAGGAGGCAGAGGCAGGAGGATCAGGGCAAGTTCAATAAGTGCACAGTACTTGCCTCACATGTGTAAGGCCTTGAGTTCGATCTCCAGTACCAGAAAAACAGGAAGAATTGTGTTACTGTGGAGAACATCATGGTGTATACTTGCACAAACTAAGACAACTACCCCCAAGGGATTTTATCTTATGGGACCACCATCAAAAACACAGCTCAACACCTGTAATCCCAGCACCGAGGAGGCTGAGGCAGGCCAGCCTGCGCTACAAATCAATAACACCAACTGTCCTTCCTAAAAAGGCACTATAGTCTACGGCCATACCACCCTGAACACGCCCGATCTCCTCTGATCTCAGAAGCTAAAAAGTCACTACACTGAATGTAACTGTGTACAGAGGCAAGCTGCTCATAACACGTACCAGTAGTCCTATCACTCTAGTAGGCAGAGGCAGGAGGATTACAAGTTTGAACCTATCCTGAGCAACTTAGCAACACCTACCTCAAAACTTAAAAAAAAAAAAGTGCTGGAAATGTAGCTCACTCAGTACAACAGCCCTAGATTCAACCCCAGTAACTAAAAAAACAAGTAAACAAACAAAAACTGAGGCACAGGGTCTGTTGGCTTGTTTGTGCTCAGCTGTGCTGGCCCCAGCCAAATGAATAGCCTCAGGACTGAAGAGGAGCCGTAGGTGCAGCTCGGTGGTGGAGGGCGTGCTCTCCAGGCGTGACACCTGGGATTCCATCCCTAACACCAACATACTCTCTTGTTTCTTTCATTCTGAGAAAGGGTCTCACTAAATCACTAAGTGGCCCAGACTAGGCTTGAACGTGTCATCCCGCCTCAGCTTCCCAGTGTTTGAGATCACAAACATGCACACCTGGCTTCGTGAGTTGGACTCCCAGTACCAAAACAAAAAACTTTAAAATTAATGCTGGGCATGGTGGCCCATGCCTGTAATCCCAGCACTTGCAAGGCTGAGGCAGGAGGACTGGTACAAGTTTGAGACCAGCCAGGGCTACAAAGTGAGCTCAAGGCCAGCCTGAATTACATAAAGACCAAAAAAAAAGGGCATGGTAGCACAGGCCTCTAATCCCAGCAATAGGAAGGCTAAGGAAGATCATCAGTTTGAACTCACCCTGAACTACACAGTGAGACCCTGTCTCAAAAAACAAAAAAAGGGGTTGGGGCTGAAGATATAGCTCAGTGTGAAGACTGGGTTCACTCCCCAGTACAGCGAGGGAATAATAATAAAATAATAAAAGCAGTGACGAGGCCTTCTTAAAAGTGAAGAAAGGCTGACACTGACAGTCTCCCAAATGTTAATTCTTTCCCAGTTATCCCACCGGATGGGCAGCAATCAAAACCCAGATGGCCACTAAAATCCAGGTAAGCACTAAATTCCAGAAATACAAAAGTTGTCACTTTTTGCTACAAAGAAAACTTGTTAGTCCAACTAACATTTTAATATTAAAGTAGAAAAAGCATAGGTTTTAGAAACAGACCAACTTATGTTTAAATCCTTACTTTGCCACTGACAAACTGGCCAAATTATATGAACCTCTATTACTTCCTATATACAAGAAAACACCACCAGTATTTACAAACACTACAACGAGAGGCGACGCCAGGCTCAAAACAGACACTCAAGAGAAAAATCTTGTTACATGGATCTAGTGATAGTAACTCAATAGCCAATTTCAATTGGATACAAATTACTTTTAAAGTTGAAGAGTAAAAAAGTATCTCCTGGGTAGTGCCAGTCACAGGGTGGTGTAGCTCACGGGCACCAGTCTTGCCTAGGGAGCCTGAGGCCCTGCTGCCAAAGCCCCCTTCCAAAAACAGCAAAGAGCAGATTGCAAAATCTACCAGCAAGTCCCTTTCCCACAATGTACTGACTCATGAAAAGGGGACTCTCAACTAGTTAATCATCCGTCCAACAGTAATTCCTTCACGGCTAAATTTTAAAGCCACTGAGCTTGACTTCCTCACCCTTCTCGTGCCTGGTTATCTACCATAGAAGTTTCTGGAGGCCAAGGACTGTCTCATACAGGCTTCTCTCACAGCACCCAGGAGGGGCCACGGCACTCAGCACACCACTGTGTTCAACAAGTTATTTCTGGAATTAAAAGTTGCCATGGGGGTGAAGTTGTAGTTTAGTCATAGTGCTTGCCTAGCATGCACATGGGGCCCTGGGTTCCATCCCTGCGCTGAAAAAAAAGTTGGTATGATTCTCTTAATAATTAAAAAGAAGAACTTTAATAACCAGATCTTTTCACTTCTTTTTTTTTTTTTTTTGGAGACAGGGTCTCGCTACATAGTTCAGGTTAGCCTTGGACTCACTGTGTAGCCCAGGCCGGCCTCAAACTTGCAGCAATCCTGCCTCAGCCTCTTGAGTGCTGGGATTACAGGTGAAGCCACCATGCCTCCCAGGCCTCTTTTCACTTCAAAATACTGGTGAAATGGAAAACATTCATATTAAAAATCCTCCTTAGCTGGGCAGGGTGGTATATACCTACTGAGAGGCTGAGGCAGGATGATCACAAGTTTGAGCCCAGGATGAACAATTCAGCAACTCAGCCACTCTTGAAATTTAGAAAGGGCTATGGGTGTCGATCAGTGCAAAGGCCCTGCATTCAATCCCTAGTACCACAAACATTCACACATGCACACAAACGTACCACAGCTCCTCCCAGCTCAAGGAATATAGCGGCATAGGAGGCCTACAGTCCCAACCACTATAGTCCCAGCTATTCTGGGAGGAAGAGGCAGGAAAACCACTCCCATTCGCACCCAGTGATCAACTTGAACCCAAGTCATCAGGCAGGGAAACTTACCAAGACTCTTAAAAAAAAAAATTCCTCTAACAAAAGAAATTGCTGTTTAGGGCTGTGCTACAGGGCCCTAGGAAAGCACTTGCCTGCCTAGCATGAGGGAGGCCCTGGTTCCCTGGCCCACCACTGCCAAAACAAGAGAAACAAATGCCTGTTTCTAAAAAAGCAAAACAGACCAAAATGCAAAACTGTAAAACTCACTACCAACATTTTCAAAAAACAAAACACTGACAGATTCGTGAGTTCAAGGCCAGCTTGGACTCAACCAAAAAACTGCTGGGCGTGGTGATGCAAGCGTGCGATCACAGCACCTGGAAGGCTGAGGCAGAAAGAGCGCCCTGTGTACAAAGCCAGCCTGGACAATACAGCGAGTTCAAGGCCAGTCTGACAGCGGGACTCTGTCTCAAGAAAACCAAACAAACAGAACAAAACTGCCAGAAGGAGCACCTCCAAACAGGAAAGCACTATCCATTCCACTCCGTTCTCGAAACAACTTACCTTTTTGCACTTTCTTTTGCAGATTTGAAATTCAGATTCTCACACAATCACTGGCCTCCTCTTCTGTTTGATTCAACAGCGTACACACTAGAGTGTCTCTCTTGCTGTTAAATAAATACATCAGTAGAAAGCACACTTGTCTTACTCTGCTTTCTAACTGTGAAAGCGAAAGTGCAAAAACCCTAACCCAAAATTAAAAAAAAAAAAAAAACTTAAGATTAAAAACATAGAGCAATTGTACAGGTACCCTGTTTTTCCCCCCAACGCCATACTTCAGTATGACTTAAATGGCTTTTTCCCAAGTGAAAAAGAAGGATTCTTGTGTCTTGATGGGAGAGCAAGGAATTAAAGGTAAAGCACAAGCCATTTCCAAACAGGCGAGACACCATCAGTGTGTGCTGTTGCAGGAAACAGAATGGGAAGCCGTGAGTGGGAGTCTCTGCACTTCACATCTGCAAAAGAAGAGAATAAAAAGGTTAACTGCGGCCTGGAAACCTTGCTTCACCTGTTTAAACGCACTGCCCTTACCCACTTTCAATCAAAAGATGAAAACCTACTGTTCAAGCCGGGTGTGGTGGCGCACGCCTGTAATCCCAGCACTCGGGAGGCTGAGGCAGGAGGATCGTTGCAAGTTCGAGGCCAGCCTGGGCTACAAAGTGAGCTCAAGTTCAGCCTGAACTGCATAGCGAGACCCTGTCTCAAAAAGACAAAAAAAAAAACCTACTGTTCAGAGGTTCCCAAGAGAACTCTGATCTCCTCGTCCTTCAAACACACCGTGGGTTGAAACTCTCTCTGCAGCATCGGAAGTCACTCGGACGCTCTGAGAGGCCACACCACTTGGCCTCGGAGGCTACCACACCTGGATACCCCACTGAAGAAGAAACTATCTAAAAACTGATAGCTTGTTCTTAAAGCTGTCATTAAAACGAGCAAAAGGCGCTCCGCCGCGGAACAGCCGCCTGCGGGGAAGCGCGCGCAGCGGAGCCGGCCCGGTGCGCTCGGGGAAGGCCCGCGGGGGCGCGG